TGTAGTAACAGCAGCATAGCCAGCAATAATTTATGGCTTAGTTGTTAGCAATGTTTGTAATTTGTAACTTGCTTCCCCTTTTATAATTTGTAATTTGCGACTTGCTTCCCCTTTTGTACCAGGGAAAACAAGGTCAACTCGAGGACCCACATTAGGCAAAGGAGTGCAAAAAAAATAACTAGGAAAAAAGGAGAGAAATTTAATGTTTTTGTCAACCGGGTGTTGAATGCAATAACTGGAAGGAATACCACCCTAGCAACGAATGAGTTGGGACTGCAAATTCGGCGATTGTGCCCTCTTCAGAGCGTGAAGTCGTGGAAAAAAATCTATCAAAGTACAAAAGATGTTGTCCAAGCTGTGCTAGTATGAGATTCATCTTACGATAATGTCTTTATTAGATTATTTGTAATTGCTTAAATTAATTAATGTAATACTCCTCTTATTATGTTTGTAGGACCAGTTTGTTATCGTCGAGGATTTTCATAATGATGAACAAGCTCAACAGATCATTGATAGAAAGGCATATTTGTTGTACAAGGATTGGAGATACAACCTAAAGCAAGAGTTCCTCGAACTTGAGGAACAGGGTGTTGATGACCCCTATAGTCATCCACCTACTGGAGTGAGCTTGGAGGACTGGAAATATCTAATTGATGTGGCTTGGAAAGATGAATCTCACTTGGTAACAAAATAATTATAAACCCCATTCTTGAAATTAAATTATGTGTTAATATGTAAAATTCTACACTAAATATTTTTTTTCCCAGAAACGCTCGAAAGCTGGTAAAGCCAATAGGCGTATGCTACCGTACAACCACACTAGTGGATCTAGATCATTTCTAGTTGCAATGTTGCTTATGGTGAGAAGTTTTTAATTTAGTAATGTACAAATCAATGCTTGTTCTTAATTTTGCATACCACTTTATACAGCTCTTAATTTTGTTATTTCAAACCTAACAGGTAGATGAGGATGGCGATCTAGATTTTCCTGAATTTCATAAGAAATCACACATCCAAGAAGACGGGAGACTGGATTGACCCCAAATGTGGTGAGCTACATGTGAGTATTGAACGTTGAAACCAATTGTGTTGAATATCAATTACCAAAGTTGTTATAAAATCCTTCGTCATTGTTTGTGCTTCTGGTTAATACTTAATTGTTTTTTTACCATGACAGGATGAGATGGTCAATCTACAAGTGGTAGCCATCAATGCGGAGACGCCATTAACCCAAGAAGAACTATCAAGGCAAGTGCTTGGGCCTAAAAAAAAATTACCTGCGTGGATTTGGGATAGGCCCACAACCCTCTTCGACACCTAATAGTGCGGCACGAGCGCGTGATAAACATATGGAGTCAATGAGAGCTAAACTGGAGGTTCTTCGTGAGGAGCGTCAAAGAGATCACGAGGAGTTGCTGAGGGAGAAAGAGGAGTGTCAAAGAGATCGTGAGGAACTTATGAGGAAAAGAGAGGAGCGCCAAAGAGATCATGAGTGACTTACGAAACAAGTTGAACAAGAAAAAAATGCACGGAGGCCCAACAAGTACAACTCAATCATCTGAACGACGTGGTGTCACGGCTCACAATCCTATTGCAGGGTTCAGATGGTCATCCTACTATTCGGTAAAAAGAATTTTATTGATATGCTACTAAAATTTCTACAAACAATGGATCATATTGACATTATTGTGTATGATGAATGTAGAATTGTTTTCTAAAGTTCCTATTCAAACCTATTACAACGTTGATTATGGGTTTTGTTCTTTTTTTTTTTTTTTTTTTGCTTCAAATAGGTTTTGAGGCGTAATGTGAGTAGACTTAGCAACAGAGGACATGGTGTTGCGATACTCCAAAGGACTTCAGTCTGATTTCCATAAGGTAACCAGATTATTTCAATGAAATATTCACTTTCCTAGAATTGAGTAGGATGAGCTTATGAATATAAGGGAAGTCACCAAATTAGGAGCCCCATCCAATTGAATGCCATTACTAATATATCAAACATGCTCTGAATATAATTTAAAAGAACAGAGTCTAACCTCATATGAGATGAGCTGAATACCCAGATGAAGATAATTCCATATAAAGTACAATATTTGTGGATTTGAAGATTATTTGTAGGTACAAGCCACGTTCAAAAAAGAAAAGAAGAGAAAAGAATATGCAACCAATGGTTTCTTTTTGGGCTATATTGACCAAATGGTTATTGCTAGCTTTGTAAGATATGAGTGAATAGTGAATAGCCCTTTTGATAGAGATTAACATTATAGACAAGAAATGGGGTTACAAAGATTGTTCCTTGAGACAAATACTGAAAGGAAAAACAAAAGGATTGGTTTGGATTTAGCAGATGAACATGTCTATGCTCCACAAAGAGAGAGAGAGAGAGAGAGAGATGTGAAATTTCTTATTTCTTTTCTATTTGTTCTTTTGGGGTTATAACAAAAGAGAATTGTTTGGGCAAAAATATTAGAGATCTCAACACAAACAAAAAGGAAAGAATTTTAGCAAGAACAACACAAACAAAAAGGAAAGCAATTTCCAAGCCCATCAAAAGAAGGTAGAGACAATACAATTATATGAGCATATGATAAAAAGAATAAAAATTGAAAACACACTTTGAAAGTCAATACTTTATGTATCATAGCTCCTTGCGCTGAATTATGTTCTTCTTGATGTTTTGAAACACTCAAATATAGGGTATGCAGATATGCTTCAAGAGAACTTGGAAAATGGATTTAAAAATAGTTAAATGTAAGTAAGTGTGCAATCATATAAAGAATTTTTTTTTGTGAAAACTTTTATATAACAAAGAACAAATCTTACATTTATGACAAAATTCTAGATGCAAATGTCTGAAATAGCAATGCTTTTTTTTTTCCCAATAAACTTAGGTATTGTTGTGATTTTCTAGATGTTTGGTAGAAATTGCTTTAAGGGAAGCTCTGTTTACTAGTGTAGAAATTGCTGCTATATATAGTGTATGAAGTGAACATGAATTATACAAACATTAGGAGCAGTGAAATAGAACTAAAATTAAACATAAGATTATAGGTGGTTTGGATTGACTAATCAATGGCCTAATTTATTGAATTGTCACAGCTTATATGCAGTAGTCAAAACCATTTGAATGATCTCTCAGTACAATGAGACATTTACTCAACATGATATTTCTGCTAAATGTGACAACCTTACATTAATTGTCATTTTTTAGGGGCTAAATGTTTTGTCATTACTGCTGAATATGCTGCACAACCTTACATTTGCTATCCATTTTTTAGGGGTTACATTTTTCCTCATTCTTGTTGAATAGATATGTTCCACAACCTTACATTGATTGTCATTTTTTTAGATGCCAAAGGACTTTTACTCCTGTGCACTTTGTGTTATTTAGGTTCCTATCATTTCAATAATTTTAATTTCATTCTGAAAATATTATGATTGAGGGATGAAACTACACCTCAGTCAAAAAAAAATTTTAAAAAAAAATGAAAAAAAATCCCTTTACAAATCTATATGGAAATTATGTTCAAATGCCATATGGAACTAATTGTTTTCTAATTTTGTTTTGTAGATGGCTTTTGGCATAGACATGTGGATCTTCCTATTTTTTTGTACGGAGGATAATTTACACTTTTGAACAGTCTCGCTTTTTTGTCGTCTTCTACTTTTTGTGTGGAATTTGGATGAATCGTACATATAACCTTTGGCGGGGTACATAATACTTTTGACATGGAACTTGTGTTTATTGCCGTGGTATATAGATTACCTTTTGTCGTGGTACAGATTACCATGGTAATTTACATCATGCCAAATGGTCATTTCGCATAGTAGTAAGTTCAATTTTTGTGTACGGAGGACATCGTTTTGGTATGCTTATTTGTTATGTATAAAGTTATTATTTCTAATTGGAATATATACTTTGTATAGAAGTTAACATTATAAGTTATGCTTTTTGATTGATGGTTATAAGTGAAATATGCGTTGTGGAATGGGTGATAATATATACATATATTATTTTGTTTTTATACTTGTTACAGGTTGCGGTGGATACATACAAGTTGTAGACAAAATAATTAAAATAATAATAAAAAAACATACAATGTTATTTTTGGCAACTAAACAATTGATAGCTAAAAATGGAGCTGAATATTTTTAGCGACTAAATTGTTGGTAGATAAAAACGAATTAAATCTTTTGGCGACTAAATATTTAGTAGCTATTTTAAAAACACTTTAGGCGACTAATTATTTAGTAGCCAAAAATGAGGAAAAAACACTTTTTGGCGACCAAAAATTTAGTGGCCAAAACATAAAATGATATTATAGGCGACTAAAATTGTAGCAGCTAAAAAACTTACTTTAGGCGACTAAACATTTAGTAGCTAAAAAAAACTTAGCTGAACAACAAAAAAAATATTCCCAACTAAAACTTTGGTCGCCCTAGATATTTAAAGTTTTGGCGACAAAAAGTTTCGTAGCTGAAAATGTGATTTAAATTAAATTAGCTTCTTTTGGCAACTAACAGATTAGTCGCCAATGTAGCCTCATATGAGACTCAATACTAGTTTTGTCACCAATTCCTTTACTTTTGGCAACTAAAAAATTAGTTGGCGTTTATAGGACTTTTGGCGACTAAATAGTTTTTAGTCGCCAATACTTTCCCCGACAATCTTCCCTCGACAAATCCGGCGACCAAAATATTTAGTCGCAAAAATGTTTTGGCGATTAAAATTTTACTTTTGGCGACTAAAAATTTAGTCGCCAAAAGTGCAATTTCTTGTAGTGAACCTAGGGTTTCCGTATCTTTCTACATCTTGGTCCCTTCTCTCTCTCTCTCTCTCTCTCTCTCCATTTGAGTGATTTTAGGTTTTTTCCAGCAATTTTTTGCTAGTATTAAGTTGAATAAAATTTCAGCCAAGAAGAAGTTCAAATTATCTTAACATGCTAGATATCTAAACATAAAGGGCAACTGCCTCAAACATTTGCCAAGAAGTTTACCTGGTCTAAAGTATGCTGTGCAAAATCAGCGGTTGATATCATAACTCCAGCCACAAATGAATCCAACTTGAGACTAAGGCCAAGCTTGTCACTGCACTACAGGTTCACAGGGTAGAACTGAAAAATCATAATGAGAAATCTTTAAACAGTCCCGTAGCTAATTCTTAATTAATTTTTAACATATTCAAGAAAATAAATATTTATGCCCATTTATACATTAGACCATCAATTTATTTCAGCGGCCCAAGAATTAACTAATCTACATGTTCAGGGGAATTAAATTGTTAATTTAAAAACCTATCTATACGATCATGCATATCCAAATGTTCTACACGCTGCTGCATATCATATTCAGTTCAAGTAGTTTGACAGAAAACAATGTTTATTAGTCGTATTTCATTTTAGAAATTATACCGCTTTGTGCATGTACATTTGGTGTAGTGATCAACAAAGAAAGCATATATCCAAACACTAATTAAACACCTACTCTATGTATGTTTGCTGACTGCAAAACTCTAAACATTCTTGGCTAGAGAAAAATTTATTTTTGGGAAGGGGGTCCTATTTAACTTTGGCCTCATGCTAGGGTCAGATGATCCTCTCCACCCTTGCTTCCAGATTTTGATCCGCTACTCCATCCACATTTTCCATGAGAACGTAACTAATTAAAAAAATGTAGGCGATACAGGTAATTAAATAATTGAATCTAGCCTTCATCTACCCTAAGTCAATAGAGTTCAGTCCTTGTCTTCCCTTCGTCCTTAGTGACCTAATAAGTTTCTTGCTCAAGGACTTTGACGTATTCACTCTTCCCAATTCCCAGCCCATCAAGTGAACATGGGGTTGTGGGTGATTACAGATTAATTTTTTTTTGATCGGCAAAACAAAATCTTGATTGATGGGAACATACGAAGTATGGAAGAATACATCAATAAAGAGGGCCTTGGAACTAGCAAAAGCTCCAAGCTCCAGTTGGTGAGAGACCAACAACAAGCAAAGAAAGAAAAACCATAAAAGCAAAAGGCTTCCACATGAGCCACCAGCAGCAGAACAAATTGGCTGTCACATGATCCTCCAGCAGAACAAAATTAGCAGAACAACAACCTCCAGCAGCAGAACAACAGTTAGCAGAACAACAGATTGGCTTCCACATGAACCTCTAGCAGCAGACTACCAACAGCTAACAGAGAAAAACCAGCACAAACCATCATCCTTGAACCTGCATTGCCTTGAAACTACACTGCCTTGAAATTCCCATGAACTGCACTGTAGCCCTTCAATCATTCTACACAACCATGAACTACCAACAAAAAAGCAAACAGATCAAAGACAGAGAGAACCACAGAAAAAACCAGCACCAACCAGAGAAAAACCAGCACAAACCATCAGCCTTGAAACTGCATTACCTTCAACCAGAGAGAAACCAGCACAAACCATCAGCCTTGAAACTGCATTGCCTTGAAACTACACTGCCTTGAAATTCCCATGAACTACACTACAGCCCTTCAGTCATTCTACAAACTCAGCAAATATCAGTGGACTGCTGCTTTGAACTCCAGTCAGTAGCCCTGCTTCCAAACACCAAGCATTATTCATTAAAACAAAGGAGCAAATTGATGAGGCCAAAAAACACCAGACTTAGGCCATAACCTTCAACCTCCATTCCTGATACAATATTTCACCTGTGGCAGATTAAAGACCAAATCATTTATAGAGAAATCCACTGAAAGTTTTGATGCTTTAAACCACATAGCAACTCTAACCTTCACTAATTCACACAAAGCTTCCAAATTTGGTTGAGAAACATTTCTGTGCTTCCTTGTGGACCAGAGAGTGGCCAAAGGTATTACCATCCAGATTTTCTTCTCCATCTTCTGTATTCCACATCCAGACCACCATTCCAATAAACCATGCACAAATCCTAGAATCACCCACTGCAATCCCCACCAGTGGATAATATCTGATCAAAGCAGCCACACAAAAGGGCAGTAGAGCAAAATATGTTCCATTGTTTCAACCTCATTATGACAAAAACCCAGCCAAGATTTGCACTTCCTGTGAGGATTCCAATTCTATTAAGGAAAGAAGAGGTTTTAACCTTACCAAGCCGAGCTAACCACCCAAAAAATTGCACTTTTGGGGGCGCAAAGTTGTTCCAAATTGAGGCAGCCACTGGAATTGCAGATCCCAGAAGTGATTCGGTCCATTTATATACTGATGAAACAGTAAAGAGCTTAGATGGGTCTGCACACCAAAGAAGCTCATCAGGTTTGGTGCTACACAGTGTTGGTGCAGTGCTAAGCAGACTAGATAATCTATATGCTTCTTCCTCCTTCCAAACTAGCAAAGATCTTCGAAATCCCAGGTTCCATCCACCATCCTCTACCCTTCTTTCAAAAAACACACTAACCACACCATTTTTATCATTAGATAATAAGAAAAGCCTTGGGAATTCATTCATTAAGCATACATTACCCACTCACTTGTCCCTCCAAAAAAGAACTCTTCTCCCATCCCCCAGAACCAGCTGAGAATTATTCATATAGAATTGATGCAGCTTTGGATTGGAAAGAACAACATGTATTACATCAGTCTAGAGCTTTGATCCTTTACCAATCAGTTTTGGGAACCATCTTCCATCCACTGGCACATATTTTGCACAAATCACTTCCTTCCAAAGCGATTGATTCATAGCACCAAATCTCCACCACCATTTTAATAGTAAACATTGATTCAAAGTTTTAATCCTCCTCACACCTAACCCTCCAAATTTCTTAATTTTAGTAATCACCTCCCACCGGACCATATGAACTTTTCTTCGAAGATCAGAGCCACCCCAAAGAAAAGTTGATTGCAATCTCTCAATCTCCTTAGCCACTCCAGCCGGAATTCTTAACAATGATAAATAATAGATAGGTAAACAGGACATTACAGATTTAATTAAAGTTAGGCGCCCGGCAAAGGATACCAGCCTTCTCTTCCATGTGGACAATTTATGTTTGAATTTGTCAAGAACGGGTTTCCAAGTACTCCTGCTAGGGTTTGCCCCCAAAGGAAGCCCCAAATATTTGAGAGGCAGCTTTTGGTGAAGACAATTTAAGGAGGAAGCAAACTCTTGCACTAGTTCCTCATCCACCTCAACACCACATATGACACTCTTATGGTAATTGATTTTCAGACCCGAAGCAATCTCGAAACAACTTAGAATTCTTTTGATATTGGTCACCTTCACCCTATTCGCATCACAAAACAAAATCGTGTCATCCGCGAATTGCAAATGTGTGACTCTAAGGCCATTAGAACCCACTGTTGCCCCTTTAATTTGGCCCAACTTCTTAGCTCTGCTCAATAAAATATTAAGGCCCTCAGCTCCTATGTTGAATAAGAATGGTGACAACGGATCTCCTTGTCTAAGACCTCTTTGCGGACAAAACTCAGGTGTTGGCGACCCATTTACTAGGACAGAGATCTTGGCAGAAGAAACACAACCCACCTAGTTCCAAAGCCAAACTTCGACAGCATATCAAATAAAAACTCCCAATTAATAGAGTCAGGCCTTTTCAAAGTCCAACTTAAGCACCAAACCTTTTCAGCTAGATCTTTTCCACCCATCCACTATTTCGTTAGCTATCAGAATTCCATCTAAAATATTCCTTCCCCCCAAAAAAGCTGACTGGGCCTCACCAATAATCTTGGGCATCACCTTTTTCATTCTGTTAGCTAACACCTTAGCTAGAATTTTGTATAAGGATCCAATCAAGCTAATAGGCCTATATTCATTCAAGCAAGGACTTAAAACTTTTGGAATTAGGGCTATGAAAGAGCTATTAATTCCACCAACCAGACTAGCATTCTGATGGAACTCCCTCATAAACTGTAACATATCAACCCGCACTATTTGCCAACATTTCTTAAAAAAGGACATGTTGAACCCATCAGGCCCAGGTGCCTTATTTCCATCACAACACTATAACATTCCGGATCTCCTCCTCTGTAAAACCTGCCTCCAATTGTGCCACAATTTGAGGTCCTCCTATACTCTTGAAAGGGCCAGAAAATTTGGGTCGGACTTTCCAATCTTCTAAAAATAGCCTCGTAAAATGAGCCTAAACTGCATCCGTAATTCCCGAAGCCTCTTCAAGCAACATACCATTCATTGGTATTGAACACAGAAAATTCCTGCTATTTCTACTACATGCCATAATATGGAAAAACATGGTGTTTTTATACCATTTAGTGGCCCAATTCACTCGAGATTTTTGTAACCAGATCTATTCCAACATTTTACTTAACTTTCAAACTTCACCCCTCACTTCCTTTCTTCTAATCAATTCTGTATCAAGTAATGGTCTCTCCTCAACTAACAAATCCAGCGAATGAGCCTCATCTTCCACACTTTTCAGCTTCAATTCAATCCTACCAAACACCTCCACATTCCACTTCTTAAGAGCCTGTTTTAGTGCTTTAAACTTCATAAGACACTTGTACCCTGCCTATCCTACCACACCAAGTTCTAACCAACTTTGCTAAACAAAAGAAAGGAATTTTGGATGTAAAAGCCAGGCATTAAGAAACCTAAAGGGTTTAGGGCCCCAGTCCCTATCATCCTCCATTAAAATAATAGGACAGTGATCAGACAACAATCTAGCAAATCCCCATAATTTAAAAGAAAAATTATGCACCCACTCATAATTAAGCAAAAATCTATCAATATCAATTCTGCTCCATTTTCCCCTTGCTTGAGAATTACACCACGTAAACTTCCTCCCTAACGTAGGCATATCTATCAACTCTAGTTGATCAATCATATTATTAAAATCCCTTATTCCTCTATCCCTTCTTGAGCACCCTATTCTTTCTGAAATACTCCTGATTTCATTGAAATCACCCTCCAGACACCATGGCCCCAGAAAACTGGATTTCAACCTTACTAAAGAGTCCCACGTCTCTTTTCTTTTAACCACCTCATTAGGACCATACACATTTATGATAACACAATCAAAACTGGAAAATAATGTACCTGATAGTAGGATGAGATTTTGAGAGCTACAACAAGCCTTCAATTGAAACACCTCATGGTTCCAAATACATAATAG